GTTTAACGAGCCAAGCCGTATCAATTAATACTCGTAAACATATTGACACGTAATATTCGAAATACATATTTCTTTCATATCTGAGCTTGTATGACCCTGACGGTTCTTGTATAGCAGATGGATGAATTCGTCTTATTACACGCCTTTCATTTAAAAAATTAAAGGTGACCTTCGTTTCTCGAAAAATATAGCAAATATAAAAAATTGATTTTTTTCATCTTTCATTTTGTTCCTAGTTACCATTTACGAGAAAAATGTATATCTTTCAATTTTGCGAATAAATGCATAATTTTCCACTGTTTTCTTGTTGGTAGAATCATTATGCCGCGGCTATAAAGATTCTTCGGTTTTTGTAATTAAAATATTTTTCCTTTCATATCTTCATTTTCAATCTTTAGCTTTTATCAGAAATGCCACTTACAGGTAAATATCGCGTTTCGATTACAATTTCAACCACGTGCTTGAGAAACTTATACAACATATTAACAGTTTCAATGAAAGCCTTCCGATTTTTTTTTTTCTGGAGTAGATTTGTAAAAGAAATGACGAATTCTAGATAAGAGTAAAAGAAAAAATAGCTTTTTTATTCACAACTACATTATCGCAGTGATGCAATCGTGCAAGATATCTACGATAAGATATCAGCTGCTTTCATATATAAAGAAAAGCCAAAGTCACCCGTATACAGTTCGACAGAACGGTCGATACTATCACTAGTCAGACGAAATCCTTTGATATAAGTCGGTAAACATAACCTAGCACGTTAACCTACATAACAGTAATTATCCGATACTGTGTATACCGAAACTACAAACGCTTAGGCAATTGTGAAATACTCCAACGATTGTTCAGAAGAAAGCTCTACGCCCGAAGGGAAATAAGTGGATCCAACCAGTGCCAAACGTTAGTACCTGTTATTATCTAGAATAAAATCTGAAATTACCAATTCATCGGGAAATCACAATTTTCTCTTTTCATCTCGATCTCTTTCTCCCTTTCAATCATCGTTCCAACGAACGACGAGAAAAAGGAGAAACTCTATAGTACGTTGGAAAGGTAACTCGGTAGCTACGTCCCGGCATTACCAGCTAATTAAGACCCCCAATAAAATCTAACCGACGTAGCAGGCATCATAAATCACCGAACGAACGAACGGAGAGAGACGAAACGGGACGGTTCGCGTCGTGGAAAAGTAGCTCGGTGCTCGCGTTCCCAATCGACGTTTCGTATCCAGTCAATTAATATCTTTCTACGTCCGCGCGCGGGCGAATTTGATTAACGGCGCGGCAAGTGCATCCGCCTAGGCTGTTGCACGCGTGAAATTGCCGGCTACCGGTCCTTCCCCGCCTAGTATTAAGCATCGATCTGTCGATATCGATGGTGGCATTCTACAATTCGAGATCGACTACGTCTCTCCTCGTTGACTCCAGTTTCTATCGTTCGTAGCGGTAATGTCATCTCTCTACAAGCGCTATCCCTGATACACGAAGGATTCACCTGGCCTTTAACTCTCCCTCTGTCTCTCTCTCTCTCTCTCTCTTTCTACGTATCCAAGCTCTCGCTCGATCTCATCTGATATCCAATGACAATGTCTCTCGGCACCGTTCTCGCCATTAATCTATTCTCCTCTTGTGCCTTGTCGTCAACCTGCCCCGGTGAATGCAGATAGTCCTCGATCGTTCGACGATTCGAATGACTCGCCTGCTTCGCTCCCTCGCTCTCTCGATCGCGGCTGGAATCGGTGCATCGCACTTCGGATAATGCGTATACGTATAGTTTCCGTGTGCATTAGTTTCGTTGGACTCTTTGTCTCGCGAGCACCACGCATTTGCAAGTCGAACGACGAAAGATGATTATTCGGTATTGGCGAGCTACCGCGAGGCTACTGTGCGTAATTCTGGAAACTCGTATGAATACCGGCTGGATGATTATACTTTGCTTTTAACGTGTTGGTTCATGGTTAACGATAATTTATGTACATTCTCGATATAAGTAGCGATAATTTAGATATACCAGCTGCCTACTTGTTACTTGATGAACTTCATCTTCGTTCAGCCTTTCTCTGCAAGCGGTTTTCATTTAGTTAAGAGAAATCGCACGATATAAGGGTATTTATAACAGCAGAGTAGTGGAAATATATTGTAAGAGAAATAAATAAAAAAAGGAAGCTGAAATTGGAACAGAAAAGTGTATGTGATTGGTCGCCTAAAGTATTCCGTCATATAGGTTTTCGATCCCGTTCATTTTTTTCCCCCGTTTCTGTTTTTTTTTTTTTTCATCCCATTGTCCCCGCACAGAGTAATATGCTGATACTTATTTATGTGGTCGCATTGTACGGCTAGTAGCCGGTGCGCCTGGGTGCATCGTATGCATTGTGAATCAGCGCTCGCAGTAGGAGCACATTGTATTCTTGTTTCTCCGCCTGTTTACCCATTCATTGGTCGCATAAAAAATTGTCACTTAGCCAAGTATCGCGATCCCATGAATATCTTTCGCGTCCCCGCAAATTATCGTAAAATTAAAACACCGTCGTTCCTCTGGTTTATTCATATTCCGAATATCGTTCTTTTTCATGCTCGTTTCGCGGCTTCGTTTCGTCGTGAAAATTGTTGGTGCGAAGAAAGCGATAGTACGAAGTAACTAAGTTCAACGAATCGTGCAACAATGTCACGCGATCGATTCTCGATGATATTTCGACGTCGATAACATCGCTTCTTAAAAACGCCGCGTCGCGTCGCGTCGACGAGTAACTCCTTCAACTACCCCCGTGAAGTTGCTCGCAGAAACTACGCAGTTACGCTCGGGTGTCGTTCCGTCGTGTCATACGCGCCTCTACGAACCGCTCCAAAGTGCATACAAGCGTGCCACGCGTTTGTGTGGGTTCCCTCTCACTCTCTCTCCTGTCGAGATCTCATTGCTACATGCTACACGCTTCGCTATGCCTTCGCGAGCGTTTCGCATCCGATGCTCGAAAGGAAAATCTCTTATCCTTGAGAGAATATCCTTTTTGCTCCTCGAACAACATGCAAAGCCGATAAGAAAGAAAAAGGTAACCTTAAGAAACATTGTAGAATAGGAGAAAAGCGCGCGATTATTCTTTCTTCCGTGTCGCCTCCCCTCGTGCATCAACCGATCCACGTCGAATGCACAAAATTGTACAGTTACCGGATGCTTCTAGATGTTAGTCGTGTGAAGTTTTAGCTTTCTATCTTGGACTTTGTATTTTTGACATTCTGAACGAAACGAAGTAACGCCTTTTGAGTACGAATATTTTGATTTTGGGCGAAGATAATGTTTCGTACTTGTGCTCATTTCGAAGTACGTAATTTCGACGTGGATCGACTCACGCGTACCTCGATACGTCCAGCATTAGAGTACGCACGGCACTACACTCGATTTCCAGCATTTTCATTTTCGTTCCATCGCTTTACCCCACTTGACCCTTACCGGTAAATTTACAACGCTGCGGCTGCGGACCACGCGTAAGCACACGGCCGCACATTCGTCAGAGCTCACACACACATAGCCCCACCATGCACTGCTTCGTTCTTCCCTTTCCTCGTGATGTTCAAGTCCCGATGCGCGCGCATCGTTCCCCCACCACGCTTGCAACCGGCCGCGCGAGGCGACCGGAGTGGGGGAAAGTCGACGCGAGTAGACGTGTATTTCAAAGTAAAGCTCATTTCGGAGATCATTTCCACGCCAGACCTCGAGGAGTATAGACGTGTTTCTCGTTACCTAAGCTCAGTCGAGAGTTCTCGTGTCGCTTTACTCTCTCTTTTGCACCCCTGTTATATACACGCGTGTGATAGTCGCGCCAAAGAGGACAGTCGCGAGACGCAACGTGGTTTTACAACCATTCACCGTGGCACCGTGCGTGCGTGCGTGCGTGCGAGCGAATTTGAAGGAGAAAGAAAAAGAGAACGAACGTAGCGGTGAAAAAGGGGAGAAAGAGTTCGTTTCCTTCTTTCTTCCCTGTCGCGCGGATATTTCGTTTGTGCCCTCGTGTTCCAAGAGGTGA